CAGTCTCACTTGCAGTACTACAAGTAAGACGCCCTCTTTTCTTCTTCCAAACACAATCATCCCATCTCCCCAATTAAGCAAGACAACACTGTGCGGGGTGAAACTGTAACATTAACTCAGACTGCAGACTGTGTTGAAAGTAAGACAGTATTGTTCTCAGCCGTGACCTCATTTTACACGTTTAGTCTGTTGCTCATTATCATTCGGTGGGATAAGTCTGGGAGCAGGAAGGGTGGGAGAGTCTTCCTCTCGCTTTACTGTCAAACGTCTGTGTGTGATCATAACAATCTAACTGAGAGCTGGACTGAGATTTCTATCCAATAGATATCATGCAAATTGAACACTGATTTGAAACAGCGTCTCCCCCCTGAACCAAATGTATTTACAAAACTCTCAGTGTCTGATGTGGTGTTATATTATGAGTTATGAAAATACTATAAGGTCACTAATGACTGTTGCTAATTGAAACAGCTTAGTACCACAGTCACATTTATATCATATTAATACAATCAGTGATAGCTGAATACTTGAAATGCTACACATAAAGTGAGCCTATATGTGATAATGATAAATGCTAAAACAGTGAACATATCTATTTAAAGGTCACATTTAAACATTCGCCGCCCATAAACTACTGGTCATACCAGACCAAGTAAGCCTGTTGCAGAAAACCCCTGAATGTATTGAATTAATGGTGTCTTTTATTGCTAAATAATTTACTAATTTGTAAGGGATAGAATGTTTTATTTCTTCATTCAAAAGCCTTATAGTCTGGCATGAAAATAGTTTGGAATCTTGGCCACTCATGTGGGTCGGTTTCTTATGCTCCTGTATTGTTCTTATTTATTTAGCAGTCTTCTGTTGTTTTTAGACCTTACCAATCAAATTGTAAATACTCTTCAAAAAACATTGAGAAAAGAATCATCGGCATTAGTGACTTACGATTGTAAAACCAGCAATACATTCCAATGCAGAGGAACTGTTTTTAATGTATAGCTAGTATTTCTAAGGTTTCTCTGGAAACGGCCACAGTGAGATGATGATTGATATGCATTTATCCAACATTCCAGATGTTGTACATAATTACCTGTTGTAGATCTGGAATAACTATAGTGTACAATATAATATGGTAATCCATTTTTTCTCTCTGTGAAAAGAAGAGTTTTAGCTGCACGGTCGTCTTCATGAGAACTCTGATAAACTTGATTTCCCGCAAAATCGCAGAGAGCGAGAGCGGTTTGTGTGTCATCTCCGGATGTCAGCAGCCAATCACAGCGCTGGATTCTCCGAGTCCGTCTCCTATTGGCTCACAACTGACTACTGCTCTGTTGTTCAGTACAAATTGAAGGAGTCCTCACCGACAATAAATTACAGATAGATAATCAATAATTACATCCAAAATACTCTTAGCAGCTCCGATATCGAACGATATTTGTGACTGTGTTCTGTGAGCCTCAGGCAGACGGAGGTTTGTTTTCTAGTAAACAATGCTAGCATTGCTAGCTAACTAGCCAGCGTCTCGTCGCCTCCTCCTCATCTCCATGGGTCTCTCCCGTTGAGTCTGCCAGGCTTGAGCTGGAGGCAGCGAGGCTAACTAATTAATGCCATCGGCCAGGGTGGGTTGCCTTTATTTACGCCCAATGTTTACGAAGTGTCGATTGTCGGATTTTTGTTAGTTCGTGGTCTGAATAAACGAATCGCTACTACGCTGAAATACCAAGCGAACTAGCTAAACATGTTAGCATTGTGCTTTTAGCAGAGCTAGCTAGCGCGACTGCTAACGCGAGTGTTTGCCAACTGGCTAACATGTATTGCCACCATTTGTCCTGTGATAATGTGTATGTATGTGTGTTAATATGTGCCGTTGTTTCTCGCACAGAACTCAGGTCATATTATGAGTGGGGCGAGTTGCAAAGCGAACGGGGCCGTGTACCCCGCCTCATCCGCGATGATGAACTCTGTGAAGAAACCGAAGATGGAGCAGATTCAGGCCGACCATGAGCTCTTCCTGCAGGCCTTTGAAAGTGAGATTTTAACACTCTTCACTTTGTTATGCTACTTCTCCCCCCTCCCCCGTTTTTATAACACCAGAAGAACTTTCCCCTGCAGGCAACAGGTGACCCGTTTAACTTTATGGTGACTTATTTTGTTTTCAATGATTGCTAATGGCTGACAGGCCTCCCTAGTTTATCTGGCACTCTGAAGGCAGCTCCTCATATTGTTTGTCTTTAACGAAACGGATGTCATGCTAACTGTATTTCAGTAGCCGTTATCAGACTACAAAACACGTAAATTTCTTATATTTTCAAATCTTTTTAAGTTGGTGGGTGTCAGCCACCACCTGTCAACACCCCTTTTTATTCTGTATGTATAATGCGATGATCTGGATTTATTTGTGACACAGAACAATCGACTGACAGCAGACTGCTGGAGGAGAGCACTTTGTAAACCCGAGACCAGACTGTTTCTTTTTTGTACTTACTCTCATGTGTCAGATTTTATTGGGTTCATTGTAAAGTTATCCTGAAAACATAGTGACGTGATGTAAATATCACAATTACACTTTTTTCTTTTTCTATTTCCAGAACCAACTCAGATATACAGATTCCTCCGCACAAGGAATTTGATTGCAGTAAGTGAACTACTGTACTATATTTTCTTTTCAGTCAATATATTGATTAGCTAGCCCACTGAAAATGAGTGATTTTAATGAATTCCTTTTACTTCCCTTTTCAGCCCATATATTTGCACAGGACGCTCACCTTCATGTCTCACAGAAACGGCCGATCAAATGCCAGAAGGTATTCAGATGATGATGTTCTGAATCAAATATTTGTTTTTCCACCACAGTATTAATGACTTCATTCTGAACCTGTCTGACTTGTAATCCTTCCTCCCAGGAAAACGTTCAAAGTGGATGATATGTTGCAGACAGTCGAGAGGATGAAAGGAGAGCAGGATTCTCTAAGGTAACACGGCTCCGTCTTTCTTTCTTTTTTTTTTATTGGCTGGGTAGTTTTTAGGGACTAAGACATCAGAGAAACCACATTGACATAATTTATGACCATTCGTATTAATCACTTGGTATTACCTGACCTTCACCTGTGCATTTCTCTGTTGGTTCTTCAGTTTGTCATCACATCTACAGTTAACCTTCACTGGGTTCTTCCATAAGGATGGTAAGCAGATTCTACTCAAGTGCTTGTGTGTAGCATATCTGTGCAAAGGGAAATACTTGCAAATGGATCAAAAATGGGCTGAGTAAATAAGTTGTTTTTTTTTTTTGTTTTTTTTTAACTTCTAGTCATACTGTTGTTGTTACCTGGATAAGACCTTATTCTAGTGTTGAGAATCCTGGATATGTTACCCGGAGTACTCTAATAGAAACCTGGATTATTGTGGCAGGACATTAAGGCCCTTATTCAAGTCCCTGATCCTGTTCCTGAGTGGCTGATGTGGTGAGAGGTCAAGGCCCGACTGCACACAGATGATCAGATGACTACGAAAGTCACGTGATGCTTTAGTTTGATGTTATCTGGGATTTTGTTGTGCAACAAAAATGGACACTAGGATTGACACCCTTTGTTTTTGTTTCTTGCCGTACAGAAAAGCCATCTCAGAATTCAGAAAATGAACAAAACTCTGTGTCCTTAGAGGTGCTACTTGTCAAAGTCTGCCATAAAAAACGCAAGGTAAAGTCAAATATTATCGAGACAGTCTGTCGCTTCAGCAGCAAGTAATGAAATCGTGCTTACTAGTGGTTATGTTTTGTCAAATTTAAGATTGGTTATATATATTTTTTCCAGGATGTCAGCTGCCCGATAAAGCAAGTGCCTACAGGTAAAAAGCAGGTGCCTTTGAATCCTGACAGTAACCAAACCAAGCATGGATCCTACCCTTCCTTACTGGTCTCCAGCAACGAGTTTGAGCCCAGCAACAGCCACATGGTCAAGTCCTACTCGCTCCTGTTCAGGGTGTCGCGCACGGGGCGGAGGGAAGCGAATGGTCTGGTCAATGGAGAGGCCAACGAGAACATTGGTAGGACAAGCCCCATCCAAGCCTTTTCTGTTCCGTTTTTGCAGCACAAGTACAGTTTGGGATAATTATTTAACAGTTTGTTATGAGATCAGAATAGGGAGACTATGAGCAAGCTGCTGGTTGCTGGTCTTCGTCTGGGCACAGCATCTGATCAATAATGTGAGATGTAACGGAAACGGTTGCTGGTTCTAAAATGAAATTTCTCACTCTATTTTGTGTATTTTCATTCTCTTTTCTTTTTTTTTATGCAAAGATGTAATCGAGCCTCCGAGTAGAAAGAAGAGAAGTTCGTCCCACAGAGAGGCGGGAGAGACCACGGAGACCTTTGTTGCACAGATGACTGTCTTTGATAAGAACAGGTGAGGTTTCCATTCAAGTTTTAGGATCACTTCCTTGCCGTTCCTTTGACCCGACCTGTAAAAGTCACTGCTCTTGATTTGCTCTCTGCAGGAGGTTGCAGCTGCTGGACGGGGAGTACGAGGTATCGATGCAAGGGATGGAGGACAGCCCCGTCAGCAAGAAGCGAGCTACGTGGGAAACCATTCTGGATGGAAAAGTAAGGGGGGGGGTTTGTTCATGTGTCTGCATGAAGCACCTGAGGATTTTTCCTTCTTCTTTAGGCTCTCTTTCATATCTTCAGGATTCGTTGTCCTCACCGCTGATCATTCCTCTTGTATGACGCTCCCACAGAGACTGCCACCATTTGAGACATTTTCTCAGGGACCCACATTGCAGTTCATGCTGCGTTGGACAGGCGATGCCAGCGGAAAATCCACTGCCCCCGTGGCAAAACCCCTTGCTACGCGCAACTCGGACAGCTCCAGCCCCATGGAGACCCGAACCAGCAACCACCGAGCTGCCCTCATGAGTGAGTATGAAAATGGCACAGGGTAGCTTTGCCTTTTTTAATTAAAGACCAGGCTGAATTAGAAATATGCCGTGATGTGGGTGATTTCTGTCAATGTTCTTGTGTGGAAACAAAAATCCTTATATTACATTTAGTCTTGTTTTACATTTAAGAGCAGGAGGCAGAAGCTCAATGGGTCATATATTGGTGTGGGATGATCTATTTTTATAACTGAATCTGTCAGAAGTCATCCAGTGAGTCATAGCTGTTGAGTCCTTTTTGAGACTTGCACTTGACTCCACGAATGTGCCGGCAACATGGCGGCCACTGTTTTGAACAAGGCCCCCCGAGTCATGTTTCTGTGCAAGTCATGAAGTATGTATGAGCGTCAAGCAAAATGTTTGTACGCTGCATATGAGGATATAGGAATAGCATGAGTCGCTACCTAACGTCCTGTCATCTGAAAGTCTGTTTGGGCAGAATTCTTTAAACCTAATTAATGAAGGAAACGAAAAAAAAAAAAAACTACAGGGTTGCTTACTGTAGGCGTAAGTGAGAAGCGGCTCTCACGATGCTTTGGTGGTCATTAATTGTGCAACAGATAGACATTCAATTCAACTGAAATATGTTTTTTAAATCCATCACTGATGCAGCCCATTTGTAAACACTCAAATACATAAAAACATGAAATCCCTCCTATTTCATTTCAACTGTCGTGGTAGGAGGGAGCCCAATACTTAAGACCTGTCTTGTTTGAATGCCAGAAAGTCATTAAATTAACAGGGTGTTGTAAATGTAGCATGTCTGAATAAGGGCTTTAGCAATAGTGGTGTGTGTGTGTGTGTGTGTGTGTGTGTGTGTGTGTGTGTGTGTGT